TGAATGTAAAAAAAAAAAAAAAAAAGAAAAGAATTAATACCCTGGATAATCATTATAATGTAGGAAATTGTACAAGCTAAGGTCCATAAGTCTTTGTAATAAGCTACTACAATGTAGCATGTCCATTGTTTTCCTTACTAAGGCCATGCAGAACTGCATGCATGAGAAAGATCTCTCTAATATCTGTAATATGTAAATTTCCTTTCTATAACCAAACTTATAACTGCAGCATGCATTGGCATTGCCCCCACACCAAACTCCAGCACAACTGTACCTGAGCCTGTTAGAGTTTGTAAATTAGTTCAGAATCAGTTACTGAACATTGTTTCTACTGAGCCAGACGTCTCCTGGGCTGGTATCACAAAAAAGTCAACTTAGTTCAAGCCAAAAAATTAGTCTAAAATTAAGTCATTACTTATATTATGTAATTGGATTAAAAATAACTGAATTTAGCTTAAACTGAGGTAGACTAAAATTTTAGTCTTATCCTAAATGTATTTAAGCTAAATAATGTTATTTTTAATCCAATTAAATAAATTATGTAATGGTCTGGATCATATACCTGACACGTACCACATCTTATAATAAAATGGGCATATAAACTTCATTTAACTGGATATTGTACTAATTTATCTTGGTAAAAGTACACGAGAATTTTGATCTATAAGTTTGGACTATTTTGGGGGCTAAATTTGTTTTGTGTAACTGACACCAGATGTCCCTGAGGGCCAATACACTACAAATTGGCATAAACTGGAAGACTATTTACGTCAGACCACACTATCTACACGATTTCTGAGCTGCCTTTATCTAAGACCAGGAACACAATTCTCCAAAACGCTATTGCAAGATAAGATTTTCCTCCACTTTCTCATCTCCCAAAGGCATCACAAAGTCTAAATATGATTTAAGCTGCAAAGATTTGAAAAACAACGTCAGTTTCTAATTTCTCTTTGGAACCAGTTGTAATCAAGTTATAGACAGACCATATCATTTCTGAGCTCAATTTCAATTTACCAATGAAAAAATATAGCATTTTTACCAAATTACTGATATTTTAAGAAAAAAAACTTTTCTTCAATAATTAAATAAATAAATAAATAAATAAAATAAATACAATAAAAAAAGAAAAACATGAAATCTGTAATATCTTGAACTTAAGCTTCAAATACAAGGAACAAAATATCTATAAATACTTATCTCCTAGAAATCTGATCTCTTTCTTAATCACAAATCATTTTTTCTACTCAACCATGCAATCCTGCGACATCTATAGAAAACTAGGGGGCATTTTAAGTCCAATTTTGATGGTTAATCTGAGCACTGCTATATGTATGCAGTACATATAATATCTTGATCAGCACTGAAAGTACGATTAAACAAATTCAAACAATAGAGGGAGCCAGTTCTATTCCCATTGTTTGGCCCATGTTGTATTTGTAATTTTTTTCTAAAATATATTTAACCACAGCAGTGGTAGTATATTTGATTACAATAAACTACATGTATCTATCTAGATTTAAGTTGATCTAGTTTCATCTCCAGTAGGATGATTAAACTATACAACCAGACAGTCTGCTGAGACACCTTCAAGGTACTGAGACTGAATTCCCATACCTAGATTGATCTAACAGGATTGATCCATCTCTGAGGGGTTTCTTGCTAAATTGCTTTCAGCTTAAGTGGCTTAGATGTCTGGCACATCTACTGAAGCTGCCAAATTACCTCCTAGCAGCTTCAATAGGTGTGACAGACATCTAAGACGCTCGTTGATTGCAGTTTAGCAAGAATCTCCTCAGAGATCGCTCGATCCAGAGTTAGTACGATAGGGTCTGGAAATGGTCCCTAAGATAGGCTGTCTCAAGTGTAATGTAAATGCACTTTGCTTCTTAGCAGTACATGCATGCGCATGCATTACCACATTCACACATTTAGGAGAAGAAACACCAGGGTATATATACAGCAGCATTCTCATTGAAAATTCCATTTTTCTTCATTGGTGAAAACTGCAGCATTCACTTGGGAATAAGACTCATTTCTTCTTCCGTTCTTCATCCTCTGTCACACAGCTATAGAACTAATCACTATGTACATCTATCTCACTTTCACTAACAAAATTATTCTTCTGCACCCTTAATTAAGGAGAATGAGTACCATGGAATGACATTAATTGTGTTGAATAATCTTTTCTTTGAAAAATTCCATTACCAAATGTCTAATAGTACACGGTATCCATTACAGATATTGGCATTATTACTACACTTTGCTAAACATTACATTTTTATGAGAATTGTAATTGTAATTAATGCCCATCATTTTTCACTCAATTTTAACAAGGATCGAGTTCCAACAAAAGGAGATTACACATAACCCTCTCTATTGACCCAGGTCTGTTACGTGGGTAGAGCTAGCTATGTGGGGGTAGGGATGGGGGGGGGGGGGGGGGGGGGNNNNCGGGGGGGTGGGGCTCCTGTCTCAAGGTTTGTTCAACCTCCTTGATTTTAACTAGGAGAAAAAGTGCAAATAAGTCACAAAATATACTTCAAGTTGGCACCTGGGTTTGGGAATCAACAGAATTATAGTCAATAAGTACTCAAAATTTATCAATGGTATTTTTATGTCAAAATTCTGTAAATAACCTTCTGTACTAGCTGATTTATTTAAAATTCAGCTTACTGGCTCATGCATGTCAAAGCCCATAGCAAACATCATTAGTAATATCTCACATATTTTATCAGGGGAAAGGCTTCTATAATTTAGACACCTAATATCGTTCACTTTATCCCATCTCTTTACCCTGGATGCCAACATGTCACTGAAAACTATCATGATAATTATTTATAAAATAAAACAACATGAGTTTAAAGTTTCTCCAAAAATGTTGTTTGTCAGTAAAACTTTTAAATGTCGATTCAAAGCATCCACATTGTAAGGCCCCATTCAGAATAGGGGACTAACTATAGTCTGAGGGTCAAATATGGCGACCCACTATACCAAGCTTGTCTACTAATCCGCTAATAGAACATGCAGATATCCTGTGGTGAAGTATTCAAGTGGGTCAGCCATACTTGACACTTGGACTAGTTAATCCCTTATTCTAAATGAGGCCTTATAGTTGGTTTTGTGCTAGAAAGTACTGAAAACTGTATATTTTGGAAGTTTAACATAATTATACAGAAAAAAGTGAGGTATTGGTATCTCAAAAATTGACATTAAATAACCTTTACCTTCTCATTCATCATATCATTGCATTTTTCTTACAATGAAGAGCTGAATATGTCATGCAGTTTATCTGGCCACAAAAGCTATCCAAATAAAACTATCTGTGTACAATTTTTATAGAAAACATTCTCTTGAAAAACATCATCTGATCATAAAAGCTGTCCTATAAGAATATGTCAGGACAATTTCAAGGAAAATTCCCTAGAAAATGGTCATACATGTATCTCACTGCAAGAACTGCCCTTTCTTTGGCTCCATTCTCTCCAATATGTAGACACAGACTAATGCAAGGTCTGATTCTAACAGGCAATAGATGATGACTCTTGAAAACCTTCAGGCAACAAAGGTTCTGATTCCCATACATTATAGGGTTTTTAATTAATTCCCCATTTTAACCTATATTGCAAAATATTAATCTTATTATTAAAAGTATATATATATATATATATATATTCAATGAAAAGCATGATTGATCACCCTTAAATTCCAGCTAAAATCATCAACCTTGGGTCTTAAATCTCATCATTCATCACAAATATATATTTGAAACATTCATCAACTTTTATGTGTTATTCTTACTCTCCATCCTAGTCTTATCAAAGGTTAAAGGGGTGAACTTTATTGTAATATGAAGCCCAGGGGCGGATACAGAGAAATTTTCTGACAGTCTTCCAAATTATCTTTGTTGATTCGTCCTTCATTTTTGACCGTCGTCCGACAGAAAAAATTAGACACCCGTCAATGTAAACTTGAAAATCTGACCATCTTCCAGAAAACCCAGAAGACCACCTAAATCCGCCCCTGAAGCTTGTTTTGTGATTGACATGTACATGTAATCATTACAAAAATATTAACAAAAAAAGAAAAAAAAATTGAACCAATTTCATATTAAGCTGTAATTAAGATAGTCATGTGCATGAAATATTCCACTCAGGAAGACAAACAGCAAAATGTAAAGTTCAAATCCACATTTAGTTTACTTATCAGCTTGAAAGTAGCAAATTGTCTTGCGAGACCCCAGAAGAGCTATAGGCTGTCAAATCTTCACAATGGTGGCATTTAAACCTAAAGTTTTAACACAATCAAATGAACAACCAAATACAAATCACGCCAAAGCACTGAATCATAAATAAACAGGGCATTTAAGAATAATCTAGTCTGTGAAAATGACAGGCCTATAGCAGGGGATATACAGTACACATTCTCATGCATAAGGTGATATTGATCTTAAGATCTATTCTACAAAATTGTGCATTTTACTGATGCATGAAATCATGCAGCTTTAGACTGCTAATCACCAGCATCCAGGGTTCAAATCCCCTCTACTGCTTCAGGGGTACATCATTAAGACCTAGTTGAACCCTTCCAATAATTTCATAAACAAGGGTTTATTTCACAAAAAAAGCCATCCTATTAGTTCTGAATCAGCAATAGTTGTTCCAGTGCCATTTGCCAAATGGAAATTTAGCAAACAAGGCCATAATAAGAAATTAAGCTATGTGCTGTACGTTACTTATTATTATTATTATAATTAGCATTCTCTGTGAAATAGATTCCCTGCATTATTATGAAAGGTTTGACTTTGATATTGCTTGTCCTCTTGACCAGCAATGTACATGTATGTTACCTTCAAGAGTAAACACTCAATCAGAGGTGAAAATCACATTAAAAAATATTATTCAGATTGTTTGCCACTGGGTCTCTTAGAGCATACTGATCAAGCAATCAACCTTGACTGTTTACAATCAACTGTGAACCCACATAAATTCTATCAATACCCAATAAGCCTATCAAACCTGGACTCTTAACTTTATCAGAACCAACTCTAAACTGAATCAGAACCAACTGTAAACGATATGAGAACCAACTTTTAACCATATTAGAACCTATCTAGTTTGAATGAAGACCTTCTTCATAATAGTAATAAACCTGCATTTCTTAACACCATTTTCAACAAGATCATTCAATACTTTCTAATTAGTAGCTTGTGTATGTAAAATATTATATTAAATATCTATCCCAATATCACCTTTCAAGCAAGACAGATCAAATCTGTCCTGGACAAAATGTCTTTTTTTATAAAAATAATTGTAAGAATCAGCACATGCTGTGGAAAAAATGAGTCTAATCTTTCCAACACATTTCACAGCACATACCTGAATCCCACACTAATATTTGATAAAATTATATAAAATCAACATAAAAACAAATAGTTTTTATCCGCATTACAAATCCACTTCTGTTTAACCATATGTGATATATACTTTATCTATCTAGCTACCCTACCTGTCGACATGCAAGACATGCATTTCTATTATATAAGTAAATATTCCAACCTAACAGCAGAGGTCAATACACTGCCTGTTTTTTATGCCTCAAAAGTATCATTTTTCTTGAAGATAATAGCTGCTGCTTTGACACCACATTACTCCTGTCTATCTCTGAAATAATAGAAAACTCCCCTAAGAATGTCAGCTCAGATTTCTAGCTTTTCAATATAATCAGACTTTCCTGAAGGCAAAATGTCTAACTTTCTAGAAGAATGTCTCACTGATATATCAACAGCATGATTCTAGATCCCTCGTAATTTTGTGCAAGAAAATCATTTTCTCCTCAAAACACATTCAGCAATGTGACTCCAGATCCCTTTCACTTTGATGTGAAAGAAAAAAAAATCCATTTCACATTTGTGTGCAAAAGACAATCATTTTTCTTGAAGACTGTCTGTCACGGTTGATCTTTCCTCTGACTTAGTGCTTATATCTTCTTCATTCACCTTTACGGCATTTTCTTAGCAATTTCAAACGTGGCAATTATTCCAGTATTTCTCAGTACCACTTTCAAATAAGACTGAATCTGCTTCATGCAAATACAACATGGCACAGTCTAAAGTTCTGTGCACGTGGTAGCTAGTCCAGCATGAACACTATTAAACTAATATAATAATTATCTATAATGTGGCCAAAACAAAAGTGAACACAATATGCTGTGTGATCCTCACACATACCCATTTAAAGAACTAATTTTCCGGTAGTGGTGACATCGTGAGACCAACCCCATCAAGTTGTATTATCTCCATCCATGGGTCTACAGAAATAAACTAGTTATGCAGGAGACATTGAGAGATGTAATAAATGATAAGCTTTTTCTTTCTGTCGTATATCAATGTGCCAGTTAAGTGCATGCACTGTGTCTGCAGTGTCCGGGTTTTTTCTTCATAATCAATCATCATAAAATTATCTTTCAACTTTGATATTGCAACAATTTAATGATAGTATTCAAGTCTTATTCAACTCCATCAATCTTTCTAAATAACATCTAAATAACAAGTACAGAGAGAGAGGATATTTAATAGTTATCATGCACATACACACTCATATTCCTTTCACGTTTCCCTGCATACGAATATGTTATTGAAATACAATATGCATCACATACCTGGCTATATGGATTATCAATAAAACTATCTCAATTTTTAACCATGCTAAAACATGATAGCCCTGCAGGAAACATGCTCTTTCACAAATATTTGTAATGTTTTATCACAATTCTTGACAGTGGATCAAATAATGATAGTAAAAAGAAAAATAAATCAACTCACAGAAGTAATGGGAGTAGCTGTATTGGTCAAAGTATTCTCCCCTTCTTTCACACTTCGTCTACGAGGGTCAGCCACTCTGCGGTAAGTTGTATCTAAAATATATATTTTTTTGAAAGATGCAGATCATTTTATAAGCCTTAGCTGGAGTGCAGAACCAGAAGTGGTCAGGGACAGGCTGAAGCATTACATTATTTCCTATGAAAAGACAAAAAGAAGATACTAGGTAAGGTATGGTGACATAATTAAGTAAATATNCTTTGATCTGAAGGAGGAAAATCCCAGATCTTAACCTCATCACCTTTTTATCTTACTGCCCTTCAATCAAATCTGATGCCCTTATTTTATTTATTTTTTTTTTTGGACTTTATCAGGTCTATTTCCCTCATGGTTCTCTACATGTACCCCTGGCCTATATCCATAAATTCAATTGTTCTCTGTCCCTGGCAGGTGAACTGTGAGGCTGCACATACAGAGACTCTCTCCCAACATTAGCCTACCTTGATTTAACTATGGGCAGCCTTCCTTTTTTTTTAGCTCAGATTCTGACTGACAAAGGATGCAGCAATTGACAGATGCCTATACATGCACATATAGCTGTCAATCCACCATGGTTTTGAAAATGCCCCAAATGCTTATTTTTGCCATCCACAGCTTCTTATAAAACCTTACATACAACTTGAAAACATTTAAACACCTTTAATAAACACTTGTTGGGTAAATCTCATGAAGTTGCCCTTTACAATGCAGACCCGTAGCCAGCAATTTCAAAAGGGGGGTTCTTTTTCTGAAACAGTGGACCTTTTCCCATAAAAACTTCTTGTACCTAGATCAAACTTTACCCAGAGTGGACCTTTTCCCAGCAAAAGGGGCAGTTCTTTCGAACCCCCCGAACCCCCCCTGGCTACGGGCCTGCAATGTAAGTATGATAGTTGACAAATCTCAGTTTTGTTCAGGCTTATCCAGTGATTTATCCCCCCCAGGGTGGGGTTCAGAGAGTGAAAATTAGAGAATTTAATAATGTGAGAAATTAGCCTATAATTTACTCGCGCAATTACTTGATAACAATTTATGAATGAATCACATGACTTTTTCTATTTTACCTATTTATGATGACTATCATATTTGCACACTCTTAAACGGAAGGGGCATTGGTCAATTTACTCAGATTGAGTGCTTAGATATAAAATTTACCCTTTTTTAAAAGAAAAATATACCCCCTCTTGATTAAAGCCAGCTGTGTGAAAAATAAGTAAAACTGCATTGGATATCTAAGGAGTAGATTGTGCAATGACGACAGAAGAAGTTTAATTTGAAATCCATCTTCGATAAAATCCTGGAGCTCAGGATCTTTTTACTACGTGACAACAGCTGTCTAAAAAGATGAAACCTTAGTAATATAATACATCATTTTTCATCATGCATCAGCTAAGCTTGAGCACTCTTTCAGACCATGACAGCTCAATTTCCCGGAGGAAGCATCTTCAAACCAAACCGTTTATCCTTTCATTGCCTGCAAGACTGCCTGGTATTGTTCAGTACTGGCCTTCCTGTGCAAGTCACTAAGTGCACTATATACATACTACAGAGAGGTTGAAATATTGTAAAATATGTATGACGGATCAAAACTATGATGGTGGATCAGTTTGGGTTGATATACTATCAGGCTCTTTTTACATCACGAAATACACTTTTCTTTACAGCCCCATTATGATTGGTTCTTTTTACATAGCTACACAATGGTGTGGATGGATTGGTGGGTGGGTGTGGGGGGGGGGGGTGCTGTTGTAAATAAATGCCTTTTTACATCAAGCATCTTTTTAACCAGACATCAAGTACAGCATATATATATATACAGATCTGTTAAGTTAAGCTGTCTTAGCATGATTGGAAAAAAGGCATGTTTCAGCAGTGTTATCCTCCTCCTCTCCTCATCAATCACATTCAGTGAAAGTGGAGAAAACTAAGTCAATAGGAAGCACAATGATTATTCTGAAGCACATGGAATGTTCACTTTGGTAGTGCGATCATAGTAAACTGGAAAAAATTGAGGACTTAAAAGGTGATGAAAAATCAATATAAAAAAATACAGGGGCTAACTCGAGTTACGTTCAAAGGAGTCCATTCACCCTTATATGTTAGAAGTGCATTATAAAGGTGTGGCATAAAAGTATTATTCTGTTTTGAAGGTCAACTTATTGGTATAGCAAACACTTTTCTTCATCAAGGTGTGTAAATTGCAATGAGCCAGTAGTCTGTCTCTATGTTCATATTCATTTTTTGTCAAAGGTATCCCATCCTGGATTATTTAACAAAATCTGCAGCAATGACTCAATCTCCTCAATGGGGAAAATATCAATGTTTCAGAAACATAATTTTAAAATCATTTAAAACATATTTCTGTGTAGCATTTGTGATACTTTTTTTTGTACACAATAGAGCTATCAGTTAGCCTATTCTTTCCCAATACAAGAAGTCCCTCTTTAAATGAATGGCATATTATTTTACAGCATACTTCTTCTCTTACCTCCCACAACACCTTAAAATCCTTCTGTTCAACTCGTAACAGTTCACATAACTCTGCCGTTACCACAGTGGCATGGCGGGGGGTGTTGTTCAAAATGGACTCGCCAAAGGCTGTCCCAGCCATTAAGGTGCATAATGTGACTTCATCCTGGAACGTGTCAAAACACTGTCAACTCTGTTTTAGTATACTGTCAAATCTTTTCAAACAGAATACACAATACATCTATGGCCTCATTCAGAATAGGGCCCTAAGTAGACCGAGGGCCAAATATGGCCGACCCACTTCAATACTTCCCCATCGGATATATATACAATGTTTATTAGTGGATTAGATGGCAAGTCTTGTAGTGGGTCGCCATATTTGACCCTCGAACTAGTTAGTCCCCTATTCTGAATGAGGCCTAACAGAACTATGCCAAATCACAACTAACACCACACCATAATTAACACAATGCCATTTATTAGAAAGCATGTATCAATTTCCTTTAAACACCATTACATTTCAGCTAATGCAGTCAGCGATAGCTCAAATAGTAAACAATCTTGCACCATAACATTCATAACTAAGTAGCATCTCAACTAACATGTGACATCTTATTCTCATTTCATGTTGAGCAAACAGTGCAGTTTTCTGTATCTAACCAGTCTGAGACAACACAATAGTTTGGCTATTGCATAATACATAGCCAGAAATTTCAAAAGGGGGGGGGGGGGGGTCTTTTTCTGAAAAAGTGAACCTTTCACCATGAAACCTTCATAAAATTTTACCATGAAACCTAGACAAAAATTTTACCCAGAGTAGAACTTTTCCCAGCAAAAAGGCAGGTTCATTGCCCCAATTAATTTTGATTGGTAGTTTGGTAGAAAATGTAGTAATAACATGTTAGGGTTAGTCATACTAGTGTAATGCAGAATACAACGCCACTTGATGTGAAAAGGGCATAAACTACTGGTCAATAATCATCCCATCCTTTTCTCTCTCATATTGCACACACCACAATGTCAAGTCACAGGATCACATCCCAGCACATTCTAGATTTTCACATCTAACACAATTACTGATGACATTGTGAAAGCATATATTTAACTACTTGCATGATAAAGGAGCAAAATGATAATAATAATAAGAATAATAATAATAATAATAATAATGATGATGATGATGATGATAATAATAAATTGATCTATTAAGTAACTTACTTCTCTCTATTACATGTATAAATGTACATGATGCAATCAGTCTAAATTTGTACATATTTTTTTAATATTACACATCCATTCAAGCAAGTCAACGCTCATTATTTGAAAGCTATGCTAAATTATACATGTTGCTATGTCACAAACCTTCTGATTTCCTGTCTCTGAGATTCTGACTTCCAAACTTCCTGTTAAGACAGCATACCAGTTTGTGCCAATATCCCCCTGCCTGAACACTGGATAAGGAGAATTTTAGAAAATATTAATATAATATTACCAAAATCATCAGGTTCATTCCACAAAAAAAAAAAAAAAAAATTACTTCAGTGTGCTTCTCTTCATATTTGTAGAATTGTTTTATATCACTTTTTATTTACTGGTGATTTCTTTTCATATTGGAAGATACCAAAGTATATATATAATAATAATAATAATAAATAAAAAAAATAGTGAGACAAGTCAAAATTGTGCAAATATCACCAAATTGGGGTCATCAATGAAGTGACAAAGAAAGTCACTTTTTTCATGCAATGACTCATTCCAAAAATATTAAAATAAAAGATAATACCACATGAAACTACTGTCACATCAGGATATGTTCTTATACACACTAGTCTCTAGACCTACCTCAATTCATCAAATAAACTTAAAACTGTCATATGAAAAACTTAACTTCATTGCAGAACTCCCAATATTAACCCCTATATTTTTCTTCACTGGTTAATTATTCATGAGAGCTTTGTCAATGCAGGTACTTTTTAAAGGTGGTAATATACAGGGTGTCCAAAAAAAAGAAAACATAAAAATTTTATAAATCCTGTAAAGGTCCATTAAATTTCAAGAAAATTGCTGGACATAAATTTCAATATGTGTATGAACATTCCCCAAATGTTTAGTTATCTTGGTCACTTTGCATAAAAATAATGTTGAACTTCTTTTTAAAAATATGCTCCAAATGGCATCTGAGGCTTAGGATGCACACTTGTCAATTTCTCAAACACATTCCTCCTTCAGGGTTTCCCTGATTTTTGCTGTGATTGCTCCCCACAGTTTATAGTATTTCCAAAATTGCTACAATAAAGATAAAATGCTAAATAGTAAGGGATGTGGTGGTGCCCCTTAGCGTATCCCTCGCCCCCCAAACATGACATGCACCTCTCATGATGCTTGTGTCATGAGACTAGACAATATGTTAAATTTATAGGTAATATTTTAATAAGACATGTTAGGTAGAGCTGGATAAAAATTGGACTGGTGGTAGGTAGATTAAGCACTTAGGCAGTGGGAATAAAGCTATTTAGAAATACAAGACTCTTGTTGCTTACTTCTTGATCGATGAATGTAAAATCTAAACTTACAGGGTCAGGGAAAATGTGCGTTTTGTTTATCTAAGGAGTCTACTGTAATTTTTTCTTATTAGGCATAAACCCAAACAATAACTCCACTGCTGCAACAATGGTAGACAAATGCTTTGTACTGGCATTTGTTATTTCATTTTCTCCTCTATGCTTATTCATTTTTATTTGACACCCAAAGGTTAGACAAATTCTGAAACATATTCCCAAATGCTATAAAAGCATGTCACCATTACTTATTGAAGCACAGCATGCAGCA